TGTCTCTAGCCCAATGTCTCTAGCCCAGTCTCACTAGCCCAGTGTCTCTCACCCAGTGTCTCTCACCCAGTGTCTCTAGCCCAGTGTCTAGCCCGGTGTCTCTAGCCCAGTGTCTAGCCCGGTGTCTCTAACCCAGTGTCTCTAGCCCAGTGTCTCTCGCCCAGTGTCTCTAGCCCAGTGTCTAGCCGGGTGTCTCTAGCCCAGTGTCTCTAGCCCAGTGTCTCTAGCCCAGTGTCTATCCCGGTGTCTCTAGCCCAGTGTCTCTAGCCCAGTGTCTCTCACCCAGTGTCTTTAGCCCAGTGTCTAGCCGGGTGTCTCTAGCCCAATGTCTCTAGCCCAGTGTCACTAGCCCAGTGTCTCTCACCCAGTGTCTCTCACCCAGTGTCTCTAGCCCAGTGTCTAGCCCGGTGTCTCTAGCCCGGTGTCTCTAGCCCAGTGTCTAGCCCGGTGTCTCTAGCCCAGTGTCTAGCCCAGTGTCTCTAACCCAGTGTCTCTAGCCCAGTGTCTCTCGCCCAGTGTCTCTAGCCCAGTGTCTAGCCGGGTGTCTCTAGCCCAGTGTTTAGCCCGGTGTCTCTAGCCCAGTGTCACTAGCCCAGTGTCTCTCACCCAGTGTCTCTAGCCCAGTGTCTAGTCTGGTGTCTGTAGCCCAGTGTCTGTAGCCCAGTGTCTCTCACCCAGTGTCTCTAGCCCAGTGTATCTTATCCAGTGTCTCTAGCCCAGTGTCTAGCCCGGTGTCTCTAGCCCAGTGTCTAGCCCGGTGTCTCTATCCCGGTGTCTCTAGTCCGGTGTCTCTAGCCCGGTGTCTGTTGACCGGTGTCTCTAACCCGGTGTCTGTAGACCGGTGTCTCTAGCCCAGTGTCTCAAGCCCAGTGTCTAGCCCGGTGTCTCTAGCCCGGTGTCTCAAGCCCAGTGTCTCTAGCCCAGTGTCTCTAACCCAGTGTCACTAGCCCGGTGTCTCTAGCCTAGTGTCTAGCCTGGTGTCTCTCGCCCAGTGTCTCTAGCCGGGTGTGTCTAGCCCAGTGTCTCTTATCCAGTGTCTCTAGCCCGGTGTCTCTAGATCAGTGTCTCTAGCCCAGTGTCTAGCCTGGTGTCTCTAGCCCGGTGTCTCTAGCCCAACGTCTATAGCGCACTGTCTCTAGCCCGGTGTCTCTAGCCCAGTGTCTCTCACCCAGTGTCTCTAGCCCAGTGTCTAGCCAGCTGTCTCTAGCCCGGTGTTTCTAGCCCAGTGTCTAGTCTGGTGTCTCTAGCCCAGTGTCTAGTCTGGTGTCTCTAGCCCGGTGTCTAGTCTGGTGTATCTAGCCCGGTGTCTAGTCTGGTGTCTCTAGCCCGGTGTCTGTAGCCCAGTGTCTCTAACCCAGTGTCTCTAACCCAGTGCCTAGCCCGGTGTCTCTAACCCAGTGTCTCTAGCCCAGTGTCTCTAGCTCGGTGTCTCTAGCCCGGTGTCTCTCACCCAGTGTCTCTAGCCCGGTGTCTCTAGCCCAGTGTCACTAGCCCAGTGTCTCTCACCCAGTGTCTCTAGCCCAGTGTCTAGTCTGGTGTCTGTAGCCCAGTGTCTGTAGCCCAGTGTCTCTCACCCAGTGTCTCTAGCCTAGTGTCTCTTATCCAGTGTCTCTAGCCCGGTGTCTCTAGCCCAGTGTCTAGCCCGGTGTCTCTAGCCCAGTGTCTCTAGCCCAGTGTCTCTCACCCAGTGTCTCTAGCCCAGTGTCTCTAGCCCGGTGTCTCTAACCCGGTGTCTTTAGCCCAGTGTCTGTAGCCCGGTGTCTCTAGCCCGGTGTCTCTAGCCCAGTGTCTCTAGCCCAGTGACTAGCCCAGTGTCTCTAGCCCGATGTCTGTAGCCCAGTGTCTCTAGCCCAGTGTCTCTAGCCCAGTGTCTCTAGCCCGGTGTCTCTAGCCCGGTGTCTCTAGCCCAGTGTCTGATCTGTGCTGTTTAACGGGTCACGTAACCGCGGCACCAGATGCTCACGAGGCTTTGCCCAGATCTGTAACCAAACTGCCTGGATGAGTCTCAGCAGTAGAGACAGACGCATCCGCTCCACACAGCTCCACATACGTAGAAAGACAAAAAAAAATTCCCCGTATAGGCTTCAACAAACTGTTGGGACCAAGGGCTGTTAGCGAGCACCAATGAAGGCCAACATGGCATATTAGGTGGCTGGAACCATACCCAGCATTTGTCTCCCTAGTGACGATGTTTACACACCGCGCCAGGTACTGATTTGAGGCTGAGTCAATCTGGGGGAGGTCCAGAACCAGTTTAGATAATCGTCACTGGTGCTGGCCGTGAGCAGGAATCGAACTCGGGCCGCCGGGTTCGTAGCGCAGCGAGCTAACCGCTGCTCCACCGCTCCACACTCATATACAGTACAAAGACAAAGATCCCCTGTATAGCCTTAACAGGCTGTTGGGCAAGTGCTGTTAGCGAGCACCTATGAAGGCCGGCACGGCACACGAGTGGGTGGGTGGCCAGCACCACGCCCGGCCGCCTTTGTCCCCCTAGTGGCAATGTTTTAACACGTCACACTAGGTACGCATTTGAGGCTGAGTCGACCTAGGCTCAGATTATAATTGTCACTGGTGTTGGCCGTGAGCAGGAATCGAACCCAGGTCACTGGGTTCGTAGCGTAGCGCACTTCGTAGCGCAGCGCACTACGAACCCAGTCACACACACACGCAGCTACACACACACGCAGCTACACACACACACGCAGCTACACACACACACGCAGCTACACACACATTCGCGCATAGCTACACACACACATGCGTTTATGTTTCTTGGTAAGCCCTCGGCCTGCCAAGCTCACAAAAAAGCACTCAACCCACTCCGCAACACCAAAGCGTACCACCGTCGCACACAGTTCTAGCATAATGGCCTAATACACTGTTATAATAATCATCATATCCATGACTTATCCATTCAATGAAGCCCACAGACTTTTTTTCAGGAGCGTCCTGCTTACATTGGGCCTTTTTTTAAAGATGTTTTCAGCCGATTAGTGAGCGCTTATACGAGTCAGAGGAAACCGGACCAAAACTGTTCTTGAAAAAAGAAAAATCCAAAAATGTTTTTAAAAATCGTCGTTTACATTTTTTTTTCCAACACAGTTAACGAAGGATTGGCAAAATTCCTAGATGTTTACATCCCAGCACTCATCCCGAGTGCGCACCGTCGTACACACGGAGGATTCGCCGTCAATCGCTCAGCAGCGCCTGAGCCGTCGTGACCGATGCCCGCTTGTCTCATCAGAGCTCGCTAACGAGACGTCAATGCTGGCGCGGCGCTGGCACCGTGCGAGTGGGAGGAGGAGGGGGGGCAGGATGAGCATCGTAGCCACGCAGACTCCTGCCCGCCTGCCAGCCCGTCCGCCCACCCCTGCGCCGATGTGCCGCTGCTGCCGGTCTCCGCTCCGAATCCACGTGCGGCCGCTTGATTCGGTGCCAAAACACGTGCGGTCACACGCAGGAGAGGGCGGGGGTGATGCTGGTGGGTGGGTGGGGGTGGGCGCGGGAGGAGGAAGAGGGAGCTCGATTGGCGGAGCAGACACGCGGCGGCTATTTTTAGCCGGGCCGAGGCGTTGAGTAACAGCAGCGCCTCTGCAAGTGGAGCAACTTAACTCTTGGTAGCGCGCGGCGCAAAGCCGGCGGCTTGCGCGCGGCCGCCCGTAGAGTCGACGCACAAACGGAAAAAAAAACCCGGAGAACCGCCAGACCTGGCTTCAGATATCCCGTCACTGGCCTCGAGCGGGAAATGAACTCGAGTCGCCCGGGTTCGTGGAGAAAGGCGCTAACCACCGCGCCATCACTCCCCACAGATGCGCGCACGCGCACGGACGCACAGCGGTGTTCGTTAGCAGCCGTGAATCGCAGGGGCCGGGATTCTCATTTCATTGAAAGGCGCCGGAGACGGCACCAGCGTCGCCGTGATGGCTTTTCGAGGGCGGGGAGAGAGAGAGAGAGGAGAGAGGGCAGCGATCAGAGAGCGATCGTTACGACCGCAGAGTGGCGGTGGTGACATTGGCCTCAGAGCTGTCGAGAGGGGGGAGGGGGGGGGGGCTCTAATCCGCTTCCCGGGGGATCCCATCGTTTGTGAACGGCGATGACAGGCGGGCCCGCACCGCCCAGCGCCGATCGTCACTCTCAAGCGGGGCGCGAGCGCTCCCGCGAGCACGGACGCACGGACTCCCGCGTGCACGGACGCCGTTCGACACCAAGTGTCTTCGCCGCAGGCGCCTATGCCAGGCTAGGTGCACTTTGGGAGGCTGTCACGTGTAGTGTCTGACCCCAGGTGTAATGGGTTAACTGACTAAGATGACTGGCAGGTGCACCCACCTGCGCTCCCCACTGTGCCAAACCCAGTACAAGGACAAAGATCCCCCGTGTAGCCTTAACAGACTGTTGGGGCAAGTGAGGACCTATGAAGGCCGACACGGCACACGAGGGGGTGGGTGGCCAGCATCACGGTCGGGCCGCCTTTGTCTCTCTCACGGCAATGTTTACACACTGCACCAGGTATTCATTCGAGGCTGAGTCAATCTCGGGGAGGCCCGGGACCATCACTTATGTTGGCCGCGAGCGGGAATCGAACTCGGGTCGCCGGGTTCGCAGCTCAGCGCGCGAACCACTGAGCCGCCGCAACCATAGCACACACACGTGTGCACACACAAAGTCACACGTGTGCACACACAAAGTCGCAGGAGGAGGTTGGTGCACCAAAGCCGGCAGAAGCTCATGCAGCAGTAGCCGAAGAGCCGCTCCTTAAAGACGACGAAGGCGGCACCGGTTTTTAAGTCAGCCGCACCCTCGGCTCCCGTCTCTCTCGCCTCTTTGTCGACATCGCGGGCAACGCAGCGCCTCCAGCGGCTGCACAAAGTCGAGGTGCACGATTGTGCGCGTTTTTGTACGCCTGTGCACGAATTAATTCACGACACCTCACTGGGCAATGGAACGAACGTACGGACGGACGATTGAATTGATGCCCCCCCCACCCCCCGACCTCTCACCTCGTGCTTCATGAGCCACAGGATGTCCTGCTTGCGCGGTCGGAAGTGGAAGGGCTCGCCCGCCTGGTAGTGGAAGCACGGCTGGGGTCTCCGTCTCAAGGTCCGACCGGGCACCTCCCCTCCACTCGCCGCATCTTCCACCTGCATCCCGCCACCCGGCACCGCACGGGTCACGCTGCTCGCTTCACCTCGTCGAGTCGCGACGCAAGGTAACAAGCGTTTGTCCCCCCGGGTCAAAGGTCAAAGTGGTTTCCTTCTCGAAATGAGCCATTGAGACATTGGTGCTCAACTCCTGATTGCAGCCCTGCAGAGACAGTGGTGGAAGTTCTACGTTGCTATGGCGGTGGGGGGGGTGAGTTAATCCATAGGACAAACACTGTTGACTTGCTCATAAAGTGGTACCTATTTTATTGACCCCCCCCACTAAGGAATGATGATGGGCTGAGGCAACCCCCCCCCCCCCCCCAAGCAGAATTTCAACTCTTGCAACCTTCCCACTGCGAGCCGCTCGCTCTATCGCCAAGCCACATGTCCGGCTGTCCATGGGAAGTAAAGCAAAACAACTCAACACGTCCGTCAATAGCACCGCTTTAAAAGGAACACACATTCCTGCGGAGGGAGCTGGTAGGAACGTTGGGTTGCTCGGTCAATGGCCAGGGTCAATGGCGGCACCACGTGGTGTATTCCGCAAATATTCCCGACTGTGAGGGCGGGCACAAGCCGGCGTGAGTAGGTTAAACGTTGAGCTTTATAAGGGCACCACGGGGTGACCAGCCCCTCCCCACCCAGCCCCACCCTCCCCACCCAGCCCCACCCTCCCCTCTCCACCCAGCCCCACCCCTCCCATTTCTGGATGCACGACGGACGGACACAATAATCTCCTGTGGGCTGGTGGTGTAACCAGGAGGTTCCTACCAGTATAAAATATTGACCAATAATATTTGTATGTATAGCAGGTGAAGTTTTGAGCACCTGGTCTGGTGCGTCACCGCCCTCCTGGAGAGTCTCCGTGTCCTCCTGCTTCAAGCGAGCACCACCACCACCACCGCCACCGCTGCTGCTGCTGCGGTTTCCGGCCCCGCTCCGGCCCAGGCCGCAATCACTACCGGAGGCCGTCCCGACGTCCTCCATCCCACAAGCCCTTGCAGTTTTCCCAGAATCCTTTTCCTCCTTCATAAGGGGGCGGTCGCCGCTCCCAAAAGCCACCGCCGCTCTCTTGGCTTTGGGCCCGGCCTGGGCCTCGTCGCTGCTGCCGCTGCTGCCGCTGCTGCCGCTGCTGCCGCTGCTGCCGCTGCTGCCATCTGAGGGTTCACAACAACAACAACAACGGCAACGGTTTTAGCTCTGGTCTCACGACTTGACGCGCACACGGCCACACGAGCGCCGGCGCTGTGAGCAATCCACACGCACCAGCCTCGCTGTCTCCACACACACACACACGAACGAGGGTCACCACCTGTCCTGGTATTTCTCTTTGTTCCCCCCCAGGATCGCCCTCTTGTTGAGTGAGGCAGCCGGAGTCCTGAGGAAATCTGTAAAGTCTTCCCGGGGCCATCGTCAGCCCCGGTTATTTTTGTCGGATGGCGTAATAAGACACCAACTCACGACGACGCGTTCTCCCCCTTCTCCGGTATCGCGAGCGAATCCTCTCCTTCGGCTTCCCAGGACACGTCCTGGTCTTTTCTTATTGTATGTCAGAAGGGTGGCAACCCTGGCACACACGAGGCACGAGCTTCTCGCCTTCTTCTCCGCGCATGCCCCCACGACCCCACGCCCCTGCACCCCTCGTTTAATTGCCGAGGCCAGCAACTCAAATCGCTCGATCGTGGTGGTAAATTAAGGTACGCACGCACGTGTGTTGAACTTCTTTCGCACCCGCACGTAGCCAACCGTGGTAATCGAGAGGAGTAGCAAACCGGGGTCAGACCGCGGTGGCGCAGAACCCATCACCCACGCAGCTCCCGGACGAAGTCAAGAGCCGTTCCCCTTACGCGATCGCAACGCACGAGCCCGTTCCCTCCGCGGCGTTCCGCCACTCGACACGCGCGCATCCTGTGCTCGCGAGTAACCGTTCTTTAGGTAGGTTTAATATTGAATTAAATATCCAAACCATTGCCAATTCAGATAGATGCAATAAAAGTCAGCTCTCCCAACTGCCCACTCACCGAACTGACTGCCCACTGCCCCATCTGACTGCCCATTGCCCCATCTGCCTACCCCTGCTCCTGACAGCGCATTGCCCCATCTGCTCGCTGTTCCAACTGACTGCCCCCCACCAACCACTGTGGCTAACCGCAGTCTGCCCGCCCGCTCGCCTTGCCGTGCCCGGCCGCCTTGCCAGAGCCCTGCTCGGTTAACTCTCGTGACGGTCACCATGCTGCACCGATCCTCCCATGTACCCCACGTGTGTGTGTCCGTGCACTGTGACCCCCGCGGAGCGGCGGTGTAGCGGTTAGCGCGCTGCGCATCAAACCTGACGGCCCCGGTTCGATTCCCGCTCACGGCCAACACCGGTGACGATTATCTGAACCGGTTCTGGGCCTCCCCTAGGTCGACTCAGCCTCAAATGAGTACCCGGTGTGGTGTGTAAACATCGCCACTGGGGAGACAAAGGCGGCGGGGCGTGGTGCTGGCCACCCACCCCCTCGTGTGCCGTGTCGGGCTTCATAGGTGCTCGCTAACAGCACTTGCCCCTATAGTATTTAAGGCTATACGGGGGGTCTTTGTTTTTTTTACTGTGACCCCGCGGAGGATAGAGCACAGCGAGAGACTTTGAGCTGAACGTCGTCAGCGAGCCGAGAGAGCGGCAACAGTGAGGAGGTGTTGAAAGAGGAGGAGGGCTTAATGGGGGTGGATGAGTGGGGCAGGAGATGGAGGAAGGAGGGTTGAAGGTCTGGAGGAGAATGAGGATGAAGAACAGCAAGAAGATGGTGAGGATAAGGAGAATAATGAGGGTTGAAGCGTAGGGGGGGGGGGGGGGCAGGGAAGGAGCAGGGATGAGGCTAAGGAGGAGCACGATGGAGATGATGAGGGTGAGGAGATACCACCTCCACCCCTAAGCATTGCCATGACAACCGCTTCACAGTGAACCTCCCTCTCGCTCTGAGAGACGCGGTTACCGTGACGACCACAGCCACCGCACCCCCCCCCAACACGATGGGAGGGGGGGGGGTTCAACCCCACCCCCCCCCCCCCCCCCCGACCGGCTGCATCACGTGGCGGCGTGGCTCACAGGGCAGACGAGCGAGCGGTGAGGGAGCGGTGAGCAGGCAGGGAGCTCGCTCCCAGAGCCCGTCACCATGGCGCCCGCTTGTGCCAACTTAACCCCTTCCTGCCACCAGCTTTCGCGTTGACTTTTGTTTATTCGATAAAAAAATGGCCTTTGTGAAATCAATATTCATCATCATCATCAGCAGCAGCCATGGTCAATCCACTGCTGGATGAAGGCCTCCCCTCCCCCCCAAGCCGCTGCCACTTCCCACGAGCCTGCGACGTGACGATCCACCCAGAATCTGCACGCGAGCCGAGTTCAAACGCTCCGTCTCCTCGGTTGGACGCGCTTTGCGAAGCGCTCACTTCCCTTTGGCTGCCGCTCCGTGATTATTCTCGACCGCCGCCGGCCATCGCCCCTGCTAGCGACGCGCCCTGCCCACCACGGCCCACGTCGCGCGGCAGTCTGAACAATGTCAGATTACTGACGGCGCAATTTCATTCACTCGCCGAGTCCCGGCGAGCCCTGCTGCTGAGGAAGTTTGGCCAATGCCGTCTTTAATGAGCGTCTCGTTTCGCGCGGATGGGATCCGGACTACCCAGAGAAAACCCGCCAGGCGTAGTTTGCTGCCCTTCCCCCGCGCTTCCGATGAGCACGGTTGGCTACATACGGTGCGAAAGAAGTTCAAAATACATACATTCAAGAGATCCACACGGATGGTGACATGATCCCACTTGTTGTACTGTCCTTACTTGGCCGCTGTGCTGCCCAAAGAGTTTGGGAGTTATGCAAATCTGTGTAAGTGATGCACCAACCCACGATGTGCAAGCTCCGAATGATACACATCCTTCAAAACACCTACCCTACTCACTACAGAGGAAATTGTTCATATATGATTTGCATGTTTAAAAATAAAAACACATTAAGAGGGCCGTGATTGCAATACAAGGACATGAAGCTACATCGGGTGACACACCATGATAGATTTTGTGAGTTAGTCAACGATGATGGGTCATTAATAACCCTCCGCCACCCAACACAGCTAAACAGATTAAATTGTCACGTGGTGTATAGGCGTTTAACAACGCACAGATGATTATTATAATCACCCTGATCATTATTATCGCAGCTCACCGGTGAGTTGAAGAGCAATTCCCGTAACAATCTTCAAAACCGAGCTCAATCACCAATTCGCAATTCACGAAGAATATTATTTCTGCAAAAAAAATAAAAAAAATAACTTTCATCCAATCACGGACAGCTCTAACCACGAAGGCTACCTGCTGTGAAGGACGACGTGTAAATCACAGGTCGGTGCAACGTCGCACATCCCGACCTCGCCAAATCCTCAAAAGAACGTGAGCGGATCACCGTGCACCCGTAAACACGAACCATTTAAAATAGAATCTGTAAACTCCCCTAAATAGCAGCGTCAGAAGAAGTTCCGCGGGCCGCTCCCCTTGCGGCCTGCAGCTCGGTAACTAACTGTTGCTAAGCTTTATGGAACAGGCAAGCATTTGTCGCTGCATTCAGCCAAATTAATCATCCAAAATAAGTGGGAGGCAGCGATGGGGAGCAAAGTCATGGCGGTTTTTGATCTCCGAGCCAAATAGCCGTGGGTCTACATCAAATGCCGCCCGCTCGTATGTACGAAACTTGAACTTATTTCGCACCGTACGTAGCCAACCGTGCTCACCGGAGGTGCGGGGGAAGGACGACAAACTAAAAACACAAAAAGCAGTGTTAAAGAAATTAGTTTTTAAGTCTAGATTTTAAAGCGCACAGCCCTCAGTGGCTTCCCGATATCTCTCGGCTCTGCTTGGGTTTTATTTAATCAAAACGAGCGAGACCCGTGCTCCCCGTTTTTAAACTCTCAAAATAAAAAGGATTCCAGTAGGCGTGAGGGAGGGAGGGAAGGGGAGGGTTTTGACCAATAAACTATGGAAAAAAAAAATTTTACTGAAATTTTTGTATTTCACTGAATTTTTGGCAAACAAAAATCCCAGGCGGGAGCGTTAACAGCGATGTCGGATCGACGGCCACGCAGAAAGCATCTCGTGTTGCAGCAGGGCTTGTTCGAAAGTGCTGCCCCACCACCACCACTGCCGCCGCATGTGCATGAGGCGTCAAACTGAAGGGATCTCAGAGGTAGCTTTGCGACATCTCCTTCGGCGAGGCCTTTCTTTGACACACAGGGTTGGCGCGCTGATCGCTACCGGAGTTCAAATTGGACACCCATATCGGACAATTAACGTTTCAGAAATTGTTTCAAACTCTGGGGTTTTAGGGCCTTATTCACATCTCAATGAGAGCGGATGAACGCCATGGCTTTGGCGATTTGCCTGGCTATCCGTGATGGGGACATCAGCACATTCCCACCACCACCACCACCACCACACAAAACCGGACGAAAATAAAACAATAGAATCTTACCCCTCGGTGTTTGTACTAAAATAAAACCTAAATTAATCAAGAAGTGTGAGGAGAGGGCGGGGATCTCACCAGGGAGCGACGTGTGTTTGACGTCGATTCTCCTGCAGCCACCGCCGTTTCCTCCACCCCCTCCAACGCCTCCACCTCTTCTGCCACCGCCTCCAACGTCCCCTCCACCTCCTCTGCCACCTCTTCCACCACCTCCTCCAACACCTCCTCCTCCACCTCCTCTGCCAACTCCTCCGCCTCCAACGTCTCCTCCACCTCCTCCGCCACCTCTTCCACCACCTCCTCCAACGCCTCCTCCTCCACCTCCTCTGCCACCTCCTCCGCCTCCAACGTCTCCTCCTCCGCCACCTCTTCTGCCACCTCCTCCAACGCCTCCTCCACCTCCTCTGCCAACTCCTCCGCCTCCAACGACTCCTCCACCTCCTCCGCCACCTCTTCCGCCACCTCCTCCACCTCCTCCGCCTGTTCCGCCACCTCTTCCACCACCTCCTCCTCCAGCCTCCGGCTCCAGTCGCAGCCGCAGTTCCGCCGCCTTCTTCCTGCGCTTCCCGGCATTGCCGTCGCCCCCCCCCGCCGGCGTCGCCCTCGGCGGCCTCGGGCCCCAGTTCCTCGGCGCTCCTCTTCCCGCCCGTCTTCTCCGGTGGCCCGGCGACCCTCCCGCCCTTGCTCCTCGAGGCCCTGGCCGGCGGGCCCCTGGCCGCGCCGTCCGTCTCGCTCGACTTACCCGACACGGAGGGCCTCGCGCCGTCGTGCGGGCGCTCCCTCTTGGCTTTCCCATCCGGCCCGTAACCCCCTTCCTTGACTGCCGCCGCCGTCACCGCCGCCGCCGTCGCCTTCTCGGTTATTTTATCCCCGCCCTGGGTGCCTCCCGCGCTGCCGCTCTGAGCCCTTGGCTTCTGCAGCTTCTTGCCGACGTCTTGATTCCTCTTCGGCTTCTTGTTCGTCTCCTTGTCTTGTTTTCTGCTCTTCCCCGCCGCCGACGCCATTGAGGATCCCACCGCTTCGCGAGAGTCTCCGGAGGTCTTCCGCGCGTCGGGGGCACCCGCGCGACCACCGTCGTTGACATCGGCCTGACCGTGGTGGCCGGCCCCACCGCCACCATCACCGCCGCCGCTGCCGCGAGGCGGGACCTCGGCGTCTCCTCTGGAGTGCTGCGTTGGTGGGGGACCCAACTTCTTGGCTTCACGAGACGCCGCGGCCTTCCTGCCATCCCCCCCGGCATCCTGCTTCCTCATCTTCTTGATCGTGGCCTTGCCCAGATCCTTGTCCCCGTCGCCTCCCTGCTTGCTCCGCTTGTCTTTGCCCCTGGATTTGGTGCTGCTGGGCCCATCCTGAGCGCCGGTGGTCGGGGCTCTGCTGCCCGACGATGGCGAGGAGGAGGAGGAGGACGAGGAAGAGTTGGCCCGAGGGTGGTCCGCACCCCCCGGCGTCTTCCAGTTTCTCGGGTCGGTCCTTGTTTTCTGTTGGGAGTGGTGGGGCTGGTGGAAGGTGGGGGGTTGCACAGTGGCCGAGGGCGACACGACAGAAGGCTCAAGCACGCGTCAAGACGTTCCGCTCCGTCCGCTCGCTCGATTCCGAACGTCGTCCAGACCGGTGGCGTTCCCCCACCCGCCTGGCACCCTGCCTATCGCCGCCATCGGCCACCCCCCCCCCCCTCGCGCGTTTCTTGCGAAGCTCGGCGTGGCTATATAAATAATAATAATAAACGCCGGGCACAGTTGCCGTCAGCGGCCTCCAGTGGCGCCGCCGGCCGATGATGTCACCGCGATGAGCAGCAGCTAAGCACCAGCGACGATTGCCACCAATGTGACGGCGAGGTAGAGGTCCCCGTGCCGATATAACCGTGGCCACGTGGGAGCCGGTCGCACAGCCCCAGCGATGCCCTCCCGTTCCTTCCGGCCCTGGAAAGGTTCAGTGTGGCGCAATAGTGAACGCGTGTGCGTGTGCGGTAGGGTGGGGAGCGGTGGTGTATTGGTTAGCGCGCCGTGCTACAAACTTAGCAACCCGAGTTTGATTCCCGCTCATGGCCAACATCGGTGACGATTACCTGAACCGGTCCTGTACCTCCCGTAGGTCGACTCAGCATCAAATTATTACTTGGTGCTATGTATAAAAATCGCCACTGGGGAGACAAAGGCGGCCGGGCGTGGTGCTGGCCACCCACCCCCTCGTGTGCCGTGCCGGCCTTCATAGGTGCTCGCTAACAGCACTTGCCCCGACAGTCTGTTACAGGCTATACGGGGGATCTTTGTCTTTGTGCGCCTACCAGCATGCGTGCATTGACGCACATTGACACACCTATCACAGGGAATCCAAGTCGTCATCATCATTATCGTAATCACCATCATTAACATAATAATTATTCAACATCATCTGAACTGGAGTAGTCATCACCTGACACGGCTCGTGATTACAGCTTCTCCATGCAAACAGTGGGGTCTCAAGGAGTCTAACAGGGGACTCACGGGGTTTATCAGAGAGACCCATAGGGCTCCCATGAGAATTTCCAAAAGGTCTCACAGGGTGTCTTATATATGTACGTCGAACTTCTTTCGCACCGCACATAGCCGACCGTGTTAATCGGAGATGCGGGTGGTAACTGCAGGATTTCACGGGGGGGTGGGGGTGGTTCTGAGAGGGGTGGAATCTCATGGGATATCAGAGGATATCACAGGGGCCTCACAGGGATCTTTTAGGGGTATAACAGGGGTCTCATAAGGGATCTGGCAGGGAGCTGCTCTGTTTTCCGTGCCCCCCACCTCTTTCGCCTGCTTCTGCCCAATCTGCTTCCTCCTCTTCTTCTTTTTCAGGAGCTCCTCCTCCTCCTCGTCGTCATCGTCCTCCTCATCAAGCCAGGGCCCGACTCCACCGCCGTTCTGCATGTGGGGGGGGGGACACGTCGTGGGCGACGCAACGCACACAACTCACACAATGCACGCAACGCATGCAACGCGCAGAGCCAAAGAGCAGCGTCGCCAACTCCATGCCTCCGACTCGCAGTCACGAATGTCGCTTGCGTGAAAACAAAACAAAAAAGACCCGGGCTCATTGTGAACTCCTGAAAGCGGAAGGTTGCCAAACGAAGCTCAAAACGTCGCAGGCTGCCCAAAAAAAAAACGCCACAAACTCAACAAATCCACTCGCATCTACGCTGACCCTATCGTACACTCACTTCATACTATACCATCCACCTTCACGCTACCCCCTTTCTACCAGCCTCGTCCACTATCACACTCCACCCATTCCTCCTTCAACCCCCTGCACCATCACCTCCTCCCCCTGCTGCCCGCATCTCATTCCTTTTCCAAACCCGTTCACCAACGGCCGCACTACCCCGCCCCCCCCCTGCCCATCTTTCCCTTATTTTGCCATTTTTTACCGCCGCCGGCAAGCATTGTCAAGCGCCGTGGCGAAAGGCGCTTTATAAATCCAAAATAGAATACGGCGTTTTTTTTTTACGTGCAAGTTAACTCGTGCGGGGTCGTTAACACAATCCTGGGATCGATCCTTCCTAAGTCTGCGTCGACTCCTCATCGCAGAAAGTCGCCAGATTTTGCCGCCGGTCACTCTGACCCAAAATTTCGTCACTTCGGTGGGAAAAAAACAACGAAACGGTCGCCAAAACCCCGCCGACAAAAAAAAGAAAACGCTGGACTGAGCGGTGTCCACGACGAAAACCATTGCTCCTCACTCGCGAGGGCTTGACCTCCAACGACCTCCAACTATGGGCCGGTAGAACACAGGGCCAAAGGGCCAGTAGAACACAGGGCCAAAGCACCAGTAGAACACAGGGCCAAAGGGCCGGTAGAACACAGGGCCAAAGCGCTGGTAGAACACAGGGCCAAAGCGCCAGTAGAACACAGGGCCAAAGCGCCAGTAGAACACAGGGCCAAAGGGCCGGTAGAACACAGGGCCAAAGCGCCGGTAGAACACAGGGCCAAAGGGCCGCTAGAACACAGGGCCAAAGGGCCGGTAGAACACAGGGCCAAAGGGCCGGTAGAACACAGGGCCAAAGGGCCGGTAGAACACAGGGCCAAAGGGCCGGTAGAACACAGGGCCAAAGAGCTGGTAGAACACAGGGCCAAAGCGCCGGTAGAACACAGGGCCAAAGCGCCAGTACAACACAGGGCCAAAGCGCCAGTAGAACACAGGGCCAAAGGGCCAGTAGAACACAGGGCCAAAGCGCCGGTAGAACACAGGGCCAAAGCGCCACAGCGGCTGCGGTGACCTCGTTTTAGGCTTGCCGGCGCAGATATCGGTGGATTTTTGGTGGTACACGTTCCAACGGCACTTGTGAAAGCTGTCGTTTCTGCGTGTTTATTTTCTAATTTTTTACAGCAACTCCACCCCCCGTAACGCAGTATCGCACAAATGCTCGACTGGTCGACAAAAAACGCTCGATCACTTACATATATATTTCTATATTTCTCTCAGAAGCGGTGACATCAGTTTGTCTGTCCTCGCTCCGGCTGGGAAATAAATAAATGAATGCCCCGATGATCCAAGCGAGCTCGGGGGGGGGGGGAGTGGGGGGGGGTCTCGTCTCGTGCTTTTCATAGATAATGTTATAGGGTGAGAGGATAGCGCTGACGGATATAGTGTACAGGGGTCAGGGGGTTAGGAGATTGGGGATCATTGTTTGGGGGGATACTGGTACGATGTGGGCTAGGATCGTTGTGCCGAGTCAAAGTAAAAGGTTTGGGGGATAAGGCGGCACTCGAATTGTAAGTGTTGTGGGTTGACTCTCCAACACGCAACCGGTGGTGCTGTACTCGTCACGAATTGGCCACGTTCTGTTCACGTGACAAAACCGTACTAATTGGCTTTGGTCGGGTGGTGGCGGGTTTAACGACGTGTTTATGTTAACGCAATCTAACACAAAAAATAACCCTTATGAATAATTAGCATAGGGTTCGGGTCATGGTGAGGGTACGGTGAGGGTTAGATATTCGTTATCAGGGTAAGGTCAACTTAATTGTGGGAGTTGGGGGAAACGACCGCGGTTGGGGAAGGGTTAACGTGTAGTCCAACTTAGGGTAGGATCAGAGTAGGGTTAAGGTGGGGTTACGGTTAAGGGGGGTTAGAGTTACATTGGGGTTAGGGTCGGTTTAGGGTTCAGGTGGGGTTATCGTGAAGGTTTGTTGGTAGATA